ATTCCGGCAGAAATGCTTGTCAAAAGCTACACTTCCTTTCTCATCTCTGAAGGCTCCTCCGTGAGAATCAAAGCGATGGGAATATTCCAACATCTCTTGAGTGTCCGTGTGAACAGACTTGTGAGTCGTCGTCAATTCTGACTCACAGTGACCCGACGGGGGTAGCAGAACCTCCGCATGGGGTCCAAGGCTGTGCATCTCTGTGAGGGCACACAGCCTCATCTTCTCCCAGAAGCCACTGCACCCCCTGGGCTCCTGGGAAGCCCGGGACAGGCACCCCAAGAATGCTGACCGAGGCTGTGACGGAGGTGCTGGCTGCAGAATCTGCCAGCATGGAGCCCAATGGGGAGGAGAGGGCAGAGGAAGCAGGATTTTTTTGTTTTATTAAACTCTCTTCCTCCCATTCCACCTCGACGTTTTTTTCCCTTACGACACTGTAGTGGTAGCCATTGGTGGTCTAGCTGCAGGGCAGCTGAGCCCCCCTTTGGGTGGTAACACCTTCTGACCAACGTGGGCTCGTCTTGTACAGAGAGAAGCCAGCAGCTGGGAGAAGACCCCGCCTGTGGCTCTTGGCTCCTGTCCCGGCAGGTGTAGCCACTCTGGGTCAGAGAAGTGGGAGGAAGAAGGGCGAGCACCCTGGGCAGCCTTGGCAGGAGCTACTGGGCTTCATCCGGGCCTGACCCAGAAAAAAAAAAAGCTTATGGAAGAGAACAAGAGGCCCCAGCGCTCTCTGATGTGCGTGGACCAGCTGCAGCCCTGGGAGTGCCAAGGGGCAGCAGGGACTGGCAGCGCCCTGCGGAGCCGTCTGGGAGGGGATTACCAGCCTGATCCTTGGGCTGCAGAGCCAGAAATGACTCAAGCTTCACAAACAGCCAGGGCCTGCCAGAGAGGGTGACAATGAGTCCTGGAGAGGGCTTTCTCCCCTTCATCGCTGCCTCCCCACCCACCCCCAACACCCACCCCCCCTTAGCTGCTGCGGTGGATTTTGGACAGTGTGCAGCCTGTGAGGTAATCGGAATTTCTTGGCAACTAGCAAGTACCTGAATTCTTTCAAAACCACAGGAATCCAGCAGAGAAAAGGTAAATATCCCTGCGGAGCCAGTGTTAATTAGCAAGGAAAGCTACTGAAGGAGGGGCTGGGGGGGCGGGGGGCGCGGATAACAGGCAGGACCCGGTCTAGGCGCAAGCTGGCTGGGGGGGGAGAGGCCCTACTGAAGACGCCCTTGGCTGGGCTGCCGGACTTGGACTTGGGCCTGCTCCCAGCCCTGGCCTCCCACCTCCATGTGGTGTGTGGGTGGGTGGGGGTGGGTGGGGGGGAGCGGCCGCCCGGCTCCCAGCTCCAGGGCACTTGCTTACTTGCTTCCCCCCAAGTTGCTACATTTCTTTCGGGCTGTGACAACACATTTGGTTTTCAACTCAATTTTGCTTTGATTCCTCACCCGCCCGACCCCCCCCCCTTTTTTTTCCTGTTTCAGTGAAAATTTGGCTATGAGCTTCGTCTCAAAAAAGGGCCTTGTCAAATCGTTTAGACCAAATGTTGGAACCACCTAACTGTAAAATCCAGGACAAAGTCTTTTCTGGATTCCACTCTGACAGGAAAACAGAATCTATCCAGGCTCGGTGGCCAGCAGCACAGGCTCTGGGCATGGAGTGCCCCCTGCTGGTGCACAGCAGCATGGTGCCCCTGGGCACGGTGGCCCTCTCCCTTCGCTCCGCTCAGCTCCGAGAATCTCGCCCTAGGGACCGCTGTTTCAACGCCTCCGCGTTTACTGAGAAAGGGAAACTGAGGGTTTTTCTCCATCCGATGTTAATAAAGCCAGAACCATGAAAAAGACAAAATGCGAGAGAAATGAACAAGTCTTGGTTGTTGCTTTTCTTTCAAAAGCTTGAGAAAAATAGAAAATGGCATCAAACTCTTATTTCACAAAACTGTCTTGTGACACTGACTGAACCGTCCCATTATCACCTACAACTCACTGGAGGTCCCAAACTGAAGTGACAGGGCGTTCGTTCTACAGCGGACACTTCCTATGCACGGATGCAAAATGGCTGTAACTGCTCCCAGTGTGCCTCTTTAGAAAGATGCCAACCTTCCCAGTTAAGCCTCAGAGTAAAATGTGCTAGCCATCTCATCCCCTACTGAGTAGCTTCCGTTGTGACCACATAAGGCCATGTGACCCCAGAAGACTAAGTGCTGTGGCTCTGGAGGGGCTACCATGGAAATGTCACGACACAGACAGTGGGTTCTGCAATCAACAAAGCCGCGAGGGAACGTCAGGGCCACAGCGAGGGAAGATACGGGTCTGTGGGTACCTGAAGTCACTGCAGAGAACAGTGTGCCTTCTTAGGTTCTGGGGCCTGGCTTGTCCTGGTCTCACCTACCAGCCTTTTGGCCTGTGCTTTCCAGTGGGCCTCACTCAAACCAAACCCACTCGTCACAGTCCTGCAGGACAGAGAAGCATGCTCCCAGCACGTGCGTGTCCGAGGCTGTGACTCCTTCCAGAGGCAGACTGCCACGGCGTCCTCCGGTGCAGCAGCTGGTGGGTGTGAGCCCCCGACTTTAGGTTAGCAGTTGTGCCCCCAAAGCACAAAAGAAGATGGCTTTTTGTTTGTTTTTTTTCGGTTCAATTCAGTCTTGGGTTTTTTTCAAAACTGTTTTTCAAGTTATTCGGGGAGCAGAACATCCATTATCATATTATTGTTTAACACTACGTTCCTGCTAGAGAAAAGAGTTAATTCAGGGGACCCTGACTTCTACCACACACCCAGTAGCCAAAAGCACTCGACTATCTGAAGTGAATCATTTCATAACTTTAGCATTGTTTGCATTACATGCTCTGTGCCCCTGAGGTCTTACAACTAGGCCAAATTTTACCAGTAGGGAGGGCTATAAATACTGTGGGTGAAATATTTCAGAATGCTGTATAAAGCACACTGGCATGATAGCTTGAGAAACCCTGAACATAACTTTGATATCTCTTCCCTATTCAGGAAGTACAATTTCCAGCAGGGTGTAACCTACTTCCCGCCTGGTAGAGGAGAAAAACTAGGGTGAGGTGAGCTGATGGAAAACGGCAAAAGGCCAGATACCCAAGAGGGTAAGCACTTGCTCGCTCACTCGCTCACTCACTGATGTTGACTCACAGCCACCTGGTAGGGCAGGGTAGCACTGGCCCATGTGAGTTTCCAAGTCTAACTCTTGACAGGAGTGGAAAGCCTCGTCTTTCGTCCATGGTGCAGCTAGTTGTCCTGAACTGCTGACCCTGTGGCTAACAGTCCCATGTGTCACCACTGTGCCAGGGCTCCTAAGGGCAGCTCAAACACTCACACTCACTGCCGTCTTGCCAATGAGAGAGACCCTGACGGATCACGTCATCAGTCTGTGCTTTAATGCCTGGTCCAGTCCTTAATCCAACTACTGGGAAATACTCTCCCTTCAAGGCTTTTCAGGGACAAATGGCCCAAACTAGAGGCTTCATCCAGTACCCTCCAGCCCTCCAGTGCTCCTGGACGCTGCTGTCCCCAGTGAGGACAGTGACAGGCTTCCACATGCTGTCACTGCCACCTAGAGGGCATGCGAGGACACAGTTCAACCAACCGGAGTCTTCAGGAGGCCTCTCCTCCTGCTTCTAGTCATAGCACACAGCCCCAAACAAAAACGCAGGAAACCCAAGTGTAGGAAATAAAGGAAAGATGATTCTAAAATACCCATCACAGTAGTCAAAAATATAATCACATGTGTAAAAAGCACCTACACTTAAATAGGTAGCCTCCTTTTATGCAGACTTTCCCACCTTGTTCAAAGTGCATTTTCTAAATACAGAAACAGCCAGATCAGGATTTAGTGCGTAGTAACTACAGACATACCTGGGAGATAGGATAGGCTCGGTTCCAGACCACTGCGATGCTGTAACTATCACAATGAAGCAGGTCACAATTTGTTTGTTTGTTTGCCTCCCAGTGCACATGAAAGTTGTTTACATTGTGCTCCGGTCTTTTCAGTGTGCATCATAAAAAAGCTTGAACAATGGAGATAATTACCACCACATTTGACCCTTCAATTTGTTGTTGTTGTTGTTTTTAAAAAGCATCATGGAGCGCCCAGCCCTAATGGCAGTGCTCCCAAACATCAGCGCAAACACCAGCAGCAGCAAGCGCTGGTCAGCGCGCAAAGCCCTGGTCCAGGGCATGTGTAACGGGCCACGCAGCACTCGCTGCCTCGGATGCTGGGTTGGGGGAGAAAGTGTGTTTGTTCCTCTGAGCCCGGTGAGCTCCAAGTAGGGAGTCACCAGATACGCCAAAAATCACCTGCCAGCATCATCCAGGGAAAACTCAGGGCAAAGTGACCAGTTAAACAGCTATCCGTTCATTCATGGGGAGAACAGATCAAGCACAGCAGGGTGGTGTGTACAGGCCAAACAAATTAGTGTCTTTAGGGAAATATCAAACTTATGTTTTGTCAGGAAGTCACATTACCTCAATCCCTACTATACAGCCGATGGGAAGTATATTGCTTTCAAGCTAAAACAAAAATGCAGCAACGTCCTTAAACAGGAGAGGGCATGAAACAGTTCGAGCCTTACGCTCTGAAATCAAAGCTCAGCTTCAGCACTACCCAGCTACAGGATCTCGGGAAAAGTGACTTCAAGTCCCATCACTTATTGAAGCCTTGGCTCCCTCAACTGCAAAAACCCATCAGTTAGAAAGATGTTTTGAGCATAAGAGAAAAGCCTGGTTTGAAACAGATACCCACACAGGGAACGTTATTTCCTTTCTAGAGCTACTGTGGAGAAGAATGGTCACCAGTCACGTCATGGAAACCCATGTGGAGCTGCGCGCTGCAGGGAAATGTGTGTCTGTAGACAGTCAGCATGACTTCTGACATCAGAAGCCCATCTGGGCCCAGTCTCCTGAGTTGAACACAGCGGGAAGAGACGGCCTAGTCTGAAGAAACTTCAATGGACTCAGCCTGCTCCGCCCACCCGAAGGAAGCCTCTCACCTGGCCAATCCTTCTTCATAGAGGTAGATGATGAGAGGGTCATAGGAGGTCACAAGCACATAGAGGCGCACGTCAAACTTGAAATCTAGAAAAAAGTTTGGATTCACAGGAAAAATTAAGTGTGTTCGTTTTTTGTCACCGGCCAAACAGGACACTGCAGCATTACTGATTATGAAAGAAAGAGCTTGCCTCTCCCCACGGAACACAAGGTGCTCAGACAACCGTGCCTTCAGCGAAGAAATCATCACTGTACCTCTAACGTCTCTCCAGACACAGTATGACTATTATGTACAAATCACATATAGAGAAAGATCAACCCCAAACAAACCAAACTCGCTGCGACTCAGAGCAACCTGACAGGGCCGGGTAGAACTGGCCCCGTGTGTCTGAGACTGTAACTCTTTCTGGGAGTAGAAAGTCCCGTCTTTCTCCCACGAGGCAGGGGATGGTTTCTAACTGCTGACCTTGCAGTTAGCAGGCCAATGCATAGCCACTATGCCACCACAGCTCCTGGACAGATTAACAGTATGCTTTATAGAGAAAGATAATGATTGTAAATTATATAAAAATATACAGTATAGAAACTTGTAGTTTCCATATATACTAAAAAAAAAAAATCACTGGCGTTCAGTTGGTTTTGACTCCTGGTGACACTATAGGACATGGAAGAACTGCTCCTGTGGGTGTCCAAGACTGGCCTCACACTGCTGACCACAGCTGCCATCAGCAGCCAAACTCAGTAACTACTAGGCTCCCATGATTCCCCGCGCATATTTATACTAGGGGGCTTCCAAAAGTAGCTCTTGTGGGGAAAAGTGCATTATCTTTGAATTCCATTTTCCACAAACTTTTGAAGCCCCCTCTTGTTTACTAAGGACCCCTGGTGGCACAGTGGGCTATGCATCAGGCGCCTAACCACAAAGTCAGCAGTTCAAACCACCAGCTGCTCCGTGGAAGACAAGGCTTTCTACTCCCATAAAGAGTTACTCTTAGAAACCCAAAGGGGCAATTCTACCTTGTCCTATCTATAAGGTCATGATGAGTCAGAAAAGACTCAATGGCAGTGGATTGTTGAGTTCCTTTTTATGATTAGTTAACGTATAAAGCCCTTTCTCCTCTATTACTTCATTTCTTCTTTGAAATAACCTTAAAGGCAGGTGAGTTAGTTTACTGTGCCAACCTGGCCGATAAACACATGTGGGGTTACTTGAAGGGTGGAGGGATAAATGGCTTGGTGAGCCTCGCCTTTCTAGTTCTCGGGTCTCTTGCTTTGTGATGGTTGCACCAGAGTGCAGCTGCGTTAGCCAGTTCCCTGCTTCAGCTGGCAAGGCTGACTTCCTGCAAGACATCTCTGAGGAAAAGCCACATGGACCTACCCCGATGCAGCCCTGGTGCTGGAGAAGTTGTGTGGAGACCCCTGCCAGCGCTGAGATGCTTACACATTCATTGGCTTGCCTCCTGCAGTCGGCATCATTGTGTCCATTTTGTGAGATGGAAGAGGACTTTGTGGATTGGTGTTGGACATATGGGTTAATGTTGGACTTGTGGGCTTGGGAAGCACTGGGTTGGGATGTTTTCTTGATGTGCACCTATTCTTTATATAAAACTCTCTCTTATGCATGTGTTTCTGTGGATTTGTTTCTCTAAAGTACCCAGACTAATATAGCAGGTAAAGCAGCAGCCTGTCTCTTGGGCCATAGTTGCCAATAGCTTAATAAAGACCTACTAGAAACGGTGAAGACGATATTTGTTACAACTGTAGCAGGGTCTAGGCCAGAGCAGTCAAGGGCCGAATCGCAACTCACCATCTATGAGCAGGGGGTTGTTAATGTAACGGGAGACCAGGATGTTCTCTTCCAGGGAAATCTGGTTTGGCTATTAAGTAAAGAAAAAGGAAAAGGGGTGGAAATGAAGACAGGAACCCGCACTTACAAGAACAGAGGGCACTCTTTACCTTTTGAAACATGCTATGAGAAACAACAACGAAATGCTAGGAAAAAGTTCTTCCCACTTAACCTATACAGTCAATCGGCCATAACATAAATAACATACCATTCCCATAAGCATGTGGGTATCCAATTGAGATGGAAGAAAAATAAATTTATATATGGACTATCTTTTTAAATTAAGGGATTAAAACATTTTAAAATTGTGATTTAGGCGAAAGTTGACAGAACGGATCATCAGCTTTACAGGCAACAATTCAAACATATTTTATTTCATGCAATCCCCACAATGTATCAACTTTACATGTAACAATTTGCACATGCTTTGTTTCAATGAATCCATTGCAATCCCCGCACTTAGCTCACATCCCTAGTGTTTCCTATTTCCATCCCTCTTCCTAGGCAAATGCTGCCCTTGTGATCCGAAATGGTTGATTATTCGAGCACAGGGGTGAGTTCAGCTCCAGACCTGAAGGGAGACTAAGGGTCATAGTCTAGGAGGACCCACCAGTCTCATCAAGTGGCTGAGACCGATAAATCCAGTCTCTTTATGATTCTGAGTTCTGCTCCACATTTCTCTCCCACTGTATCCAGAATCTTCTAATGAGCAGCTGGGAGTGAGAGCCAGGTACCAGCCGTTGTTCTGGTTTCCAGATGGTGGAGACTGATGTCCGCATGGTCCGTTAATCTACTGGACCAAGTGCTTCCATGCATCTTTCCCTTTCATCACTTCTCAAGGTGGGGAAAGGCCGACAGATGCATCTTCAATGGCTGCTCACAAGCTTTGGAGACCCCCTCTGCTACTCACCAAAGTTGGATGTAAAACACTGTGAACTATGTTACACTAATTGAACACAAAGTACCTTTATAGGGTCTAAACAGCTTTAAAGATTTAAATACATGATACTAGCTAGGGGGTCAAGAAACTAGGCGCTACCATATATACTCGAGTATAAGCTGACCCAAATTATCAGCCGAGGCATCTAATTTTACCACAAAAACTACAATAAAAATGTGCTGAAAAACGTGGCTTATACACGAGTATATATGGTACTTTAAAAACAGATTTTAAAAGTTGTGTTCTCCCACGTGTAAAGTATGACAGACACTTTTAAATACCACTATCATTTTTAAATGAAGGCTCTCATCAACTGGTTTAGTGAACATCAGAGAACTTTCTACAATGGATGCTAGCTAGCATTTCCCCAGTAAAGTGGGATGGACAATTCACTGAACTCAGTCAAGGGTGCCTAGTGAGTCATGTGTGCAAAGACTGAGCAAGATCTATGTAGATTTTCTTTGTTGTTTTTCAATGAAAATAAGCTGCTTGGACAATAAGTAATGAGTAATATTAGACAAGGGAACCCTGGAGGTGTGTAATGGTTATACACTGGGCTGCAAACTGCAAGGTCAGCAGTTCAAAACAACCAGTCGCTCCAAGGGAGAAAGATGAGGCTTTCTACTCCTGTAAAGAGCTACAGTCTTGGAAACCCACAGGGGCAGTTCTACCCTGTCCTACAGGGTTGCTATGAGTTGGAATCAACTCGATGGCAGTGAGTTTATTAGACAGTGCATAAGGTACTAAGGCTATAATAATCAACAACAACAACAAAATGGGAACAAGCCTTCCCCTAACAGAGCTTAACACTCAGTAGTCCCTGCCCTCAAAGGATTTACTTAGGGAGAGGGACAGCAAAGGATGCTATTTACAAGAGGACCAAGCAGTAAAACATCAGGTTTTGAACAGAAAGCACAGACCAGCCAGTGGGCTTGGTACGGAAGTTAATGTCGCAAGTTCTCAAGCACATGGTGGGAAGGAAAGGAGCCAGCATTGGTGGGGGGAGAGATGGCAGACAGCATGCAGCAAGAGCTTAGGCAGAATCACTGACTTGGGATTAGAAGACCAAACTAGCGAGGACTTCACTGGCCAAGGGACTCTAAGCCCTAGAAAGAAGAGTGTAGGCTGAACGTGGTGAGAAGAAGCAGCGAGCTACTGTGGAGTCATGAGTAAGTGCAAAGGAAGATTAAAATATTCGAATATTCTAACTAGAACAACTTTATGTGAGCATAGATTGACATGGGGACATCAGCCAAAAGCCGCCACAATCCATAGAAGCCAAAAAACCCCAGACAGGAAGTGGCAATGATCATAATGGCTACAGCAGCAGCAACAGAAATAACTGCTAACGTTTGCAGAAGTGTTAGCTCTTAGAATTTAATAAACGTATTGAGCATTTATTGTGTGCCAAGTGCTTCGCAAATAGTATTTTATTTAATCCAGACTCAATCCCATGAGACAGACACATCACCGTCCACATTTAACAGATGAGGAAAGAGGCAGAGCGGGTTCGGAACCGGCTCATAGTTACACAGCTAAAGCACAGGACAGAGCTGATGCATGCGACACTTAACTCAAAAACGCTACACGTAGCTCTCTCGAATATCTTGACCTAAAATAACTCACTGAATTTCCAGTCTATTGTTGTCATATTGCATCTGTCACCTCCACTACTGCTAAATCAAAGCCAAACCCATGGCCATGGGCTCTATTATGGCTCAGAACAAGCCAACGTAGAGTTTCCGAGGCTGTAAATCTTCACAGGAGCCAGATGGTCCCATCTTTCTCCCAAGCAAGGCTGGTGAGTTTGCACTGGCGACCCTGTGGTTAGCAACTACAGCTGTTCATAAAAACACGGATACTTCTGTGGCTCCTAACAGTATACACAGCCATGAGGAGTGGGCCCGTCAGAGGCAGGAGGATGACCTGTCCCTCTAGCTGCCCATGTGCTATCTCCGAGCACAGAAGTCGATGCTCACCCCCATATGGCCATGCTAACGTCAGCACGGGTCCCCACCCTAATCAGCTCCCTCACCCACATCATTCTTTCTCCTGACTCCCTGCTGGGTCTTGGGCACTATCTCCGTGTGGAGCCAGCTTGGTGTGTAAGGGCTGATGCAGTCAGAGGAGGCAGGAAGAAGCAGGCTGTGTGCCAAACCTACAATTACATCCGTGTCGCTTTGTGTACGGAGTAACATCTAACAGACTACAGTAGCTCCGGGACCCCCAGCTGCCCTTCACACCGTGAGTACACTAGTGGACTTCACTCCAGGGCGAATCTAAGGCCCACCCCTAGGGCCCCTCCTCTCGTGCTGCCCGCCCCCCTTATTCAGAGAGCGTGAACAGTTCAACTTTCCATAGCTCTCGCTGCTATCTGCAATAGGAATTAAACTGTAGGCTCACAGAAGAAAGGGGCGGTCTGAGTATCGTTTCTTTGCACATGCCCACCAACACCTAATGTAGGCTTTGCTTTTCATCAATCCCAACTCTCTCAAGTTAACTGAACTCAGATTGCCTTCCAAAGCACACTAAAGAAGAAATATTAATACACTGAAAGTTGAAAGCCCACCCCCTTTTCTCAGAGGATCTGCTAAGTGATCAGGTGGAATGCTACAGTGTTTACAGCGTATGCTCTGAAAAAGTTGTACACTAGAGACATTTACAAGGACAAAAAAATCGAGTAATGGTTGAAGCTGTTTATGTACCACCAAATACCTCCTGGGATTTAGTTTCCTCGCTTGGAGATTCAGAGCCGTGAGTTCATGGTACATCCCAATTAACCAGCCTAATAGTGTGTTTAGTGTTTCCGTTCTACCTTCTAAGTGGATACATAATGCTTTGGGGGTCTTAAAAGCTTGCAAGAAGCCATCCAAGGTATAACAATTGTTGTCTCTTTGCTGGAGCCACAGAAGAAGTGGGAGAGTCAAGAATAGAAGAAGAAAGTGAAATCAATGTGTGCCCGTTGCCTCTGACAACAACGGCCTCCTCGGCCATGGGATCCAAAGCACTGGATGGTAACCAGCTACTCTGATAGGACGTTTTGCTCCAAGATTCTATAGAAGAATCCCCATCAAATGAGGGGGCCTGCAGAAAAGAATTTCAAATTCTCATGGAATCCAGAATTTCTAGAGCCATGGTGGCTACAGGAACGCCTGAAACCTTGGCAATCTTTAAGCCTTAGACGCCAAGGACCCAATGAGCTACAGGACTACAGGAAAGAATGTCTGGCCCAAGCATGGTGCTTGCTCTCTTATGATCTGTCGAGATGGGATCAAACCAAGTAACTCCAAAGAACCAATGGGAATCGTAGAGGGCAGTGAGTTCATGTCAATGATGGGGAAGGAGCAACTCAGGGGGGCTTCCCCTCACTCAAAGAATGGGATGGGTGCCACTGAGCCAGTGAGTCGACAGACAGAAGCCACTGCGTGAGTGCACGTCGTGCTGTGTCCATTCCCAACCACAAAGACAAACAAATGGAGATGTCACATGAAGGGGCGGGGGGAGAAAGCAAGCTCTGGGATGAACTAGGCCTGAGTTACTATCTTAAACTCCGCCACTTAGGAAGGAAATAGCAGTACCGAACTCAAAGGGTCCATCTAAAGAGGGAAGGAGGCTGGAACTGAAAAGGCCATGTCTGGCACATACAGCAAACGCAACCGTATTTACATGTTTCTAACTGTCAACGTGCACGACTCAACAGAATTCAGTGTGTGCGTGGTCTTCTACCCAGAACAGGGCAGTGAGCTACAGTGGAGAGGCAGTAGAAATCCTCAGGAGGTCTTAAGGGGGTGACAGCACCTGGCACACTCCTCTAAATATTCGTGAACAAAGGGGGTGGGGTGCTGGGAGAGCACGTGACATGGAAACACATCAGAATTTCCCACCAGGACAGGAGTGAAGAATGGCCCATAGGCTCCGGCTGCTTCCAAATCTCGGGAAGCAGGACTGCCCCTCACGTGAGTGACATGTGAGAAGGAAGGCTGAAGTGGACCCCCATCGGCACATTCATACCTTCACCAGCAGACCCCGAGGCTGGCCCCTCCTTGAGCTGAAAATACAAAAGTGGGAAAATGTGGCACTTAGTCACAGTCACTGAAGGGGCTGGAGCCAGCACAGCTCCTCTCCGGGAGGCCCTGGTGCTACAGCTACAGAGGCCATCAGAGACCACGCTGGCCAATGAACTGGATGCTTCCAAGAGCAGGAGTCCACCCTGCTCTCTTCGGGGTGACATAAAAGGCAAGCCTGTTCTTCCCTCCAGCCTGCTCTCGCAATGGTCACAGTCACTATTTGAAGGTATTTTCCGAAAGCAAAAGGGCTGCAACCGTTACAGGGAACTTTCTGGCTCCAGAGGGAAGACTGAGAAAGATGTCTTTTCGCTTGGCCCCTACATCTAACTCCACCTCCTCCTCCTCTTGGCCCCCCAGGCACCCCCCTGCCCGCACCCTCACATTAGTTCTGCTTACAGCCCCTCGGCCTCAGTGCTCCCCTCCCTCCTCTCCAGCCTACAAGGAAAGCAGGCAGCAGCCTTGGAAAGAGTTACTTCATCCAGTTGGCTAACGGGTCACATATTCCACGGGAAAGGATCCAGGTATGGAGAAGGGGGAAGGCTAGGCCCTCTGCGCAGGGCCAGAGGAAAGCGTACTAACGACGAGATTTTTAGGTCTGGGTAAAAGGGGACAAAATTCCAGTTTGGGGGTGAAATGAGACAATTCTCCCGTTATGTACACAGATTGCCGGCTCCTTTTGTGCCAGCTGGCATCTTCCCAGGCTTCTGTCTGGCACCCTCGCCAAATACCTCAAAGAATCAGACTCATTCCACAGCTTCCCAGGGGTAGAGAGTGGGGCGGGAGTGGGGGAGCAAAAGGGTCCTGCCAAGTCCTTTGATCTACACAGGGGGTCTCTAGGGATTCAGCCCAGAGAGGTGGGAGGGGGAAAGAGACTTTTACAGAGCCTGCCAACCACATTCTCCAAAGACATGTCACCTTTATGGGGCTCAGCATCCTGTAAAGAGTTAGGGCGCAGGCCTCTCAGGCCCAACCAGGAAAGTCTAATTTCTGTCCGTTCTGATGACGGTTTTAAAATGGCAAGTCACGAAGGCAGAACAAGCATTCCATAAAGAAGAACCTCCCCAGTGAGCTGGGAATGGGGCCTCTTCTTTGGGGGACCTGTGTCGAAGAAAAAACAGCTAACTTCCACTACAACTGACTCTCAACAGTAATTCCATCTGCCAACCCAAACCCCCAAGCCTAGCTAGCACGACCTGGGGGCAAGGGGGGAGGGGGTGTCGACCCCCCGGCGCTCCTGGCACAGAGCTGGAGAACGTGCTTCTGAGCAGAAGCCTTCACGCCCAAGGTCAGAGCAGAGACAGAGGAGAGACTTGACCGGGCGTGTCAGCCACAGGAGACCCAGGTAGAGGCCTCCAGAGTGAGCGGGTCCAGGTACTAGACAGGTAGTGGGGCCTGGGGCTGCAGGAGTTGCCTGGTCGGAACCGGATTTCAGAAGACACATCAGGCTAGGTCGGGCCGGCAGTACTGAGTCCACCTTTTCAGTACAGGTTGGATTTAAGGATGTCGGGGTGACAGACGCCTGGGACCGGTTCTGCACATAAAGGCAATCGCTCAGACACCATGAGAGACGGGAGAAAGATGCGTGGGGAATTGACGACGGAGCAGTGACCACTCACACCACAGCTTCCCCATTCTCTTCCTACTTCCACTTAAGGGACAGGAAAGAATTTTATTTTATTTTTTTTAAAGAATAAAATGATAATAGGGCTAGAGTACAGTTAAAAGGCGCCATCAACAGACCCAAAATTTAAGGAAATCTTAACAGGTAGGAAGCAGATGGGATCAGGTTGTGAAAACACAGCACGGAAAGTCTCAGAGGTAAACACAATCTCCCCAAGGAGGCCCCCCCAAAGATCCAAGCTAGGAGTCAACAAACATGAAGAATGTCCAAAATAAACAAACAAATAAACAAACAAGTCAACCAACAAACCAACCAACCAACAGACTCACTGCCATCGAGTTAATCCTGACTCTTAGGAACCCTACAGGTCAAGGTAGCACTGCTCTGGGTTTTAGACACTGGTAGAGAAGCCTCGTCTTTCTCTCAGAGTGCCTGGTGATTTCAAACTGTTAACCTTGTGCTTAACAGCCCAACACACCACCACTAAGAAAATCAGTGCGCACGTGTACACGTACACACACACTACTCCAACAACTACGACATAAGCAGCATTTGGAGCCGGAGGAAATCTGTGGGGCTGCCCTGCTCTGTCACATGAGGTCACTATGAGCTGTCCCTCTCCCCCTCAGGTAACACCTCAGGACGGTGCTCTGAGGAAGACAATGAGATCAGAGCCTGAGGGTGCTATGTCCTCGCACCGGAACAGAGAGGAGAGGCAGGGCGAACACAAAAGTCTCTCTAGCCCTAAAGCAAGACCCTCACTAGCCTAGCAAAGCAGAAGGGAGCATGCACCCCCCACCCCACCCCGCTACAATGAAGCCTGGCGTCAACATGCTCGGCCCTTACACAGGCCTGAGTCAGGGAAACTAGGACCACAGCGGCTTCCGTCCATCTAGTCTTGTTTACAAATACGATGCATCACAGGAGGCTCATCAGAACTGAGAAAATCCAATAGCAGGAGACGGCAGGGAAGCTCTATAATGAATGAGTAAACCGAACTAACCCTGGAGGCAGCCGGGAAAAAGTCAAGAAACTGAAGAGAACTTTCAAAAAATTCAACTGGCATCTTTGAAAACATCAGCATGCAAACTGCATCCAATTTTTTTTTAAA